CTCATTAGCTATATAAGAGATAAAAGTTGAAGCACAGAATTAAGTTGCAAAGCTAATTAATTAAAATTACACGATAGCACCAGGAGTTGCTCCATGTAAATATATGCCTAGTAGAGAAGGCAAAGGCACAAAACCATCCTATTTTAGCTAGGAAACTGAGAATTACAGTGCCTTTGCAAACTGGTTTAACAACTTTGCTGCAGCCCCTTAGCATCACAAGCAGGTTCAAACTCTTGCAGGGGAATAAACTCATATCCCCTCCCAACCACCTACTGCTGCCTGAATTCAGATTATTCAGTGTTTTCCCCAATTTTCCCTAAGTAAAACTCAAAACTGTATCCTAGAGAGCAGATCTGGAAATACTCTGGAGACTTTCCAGGATTCTGTGTAAACATGTCCCTTGGAGACAGGGGATTAGATCCATCTGCACCAAAACAGCTTCAATTCCCCCCTGCTCCCAAACTGGTTTGCACAACTTTGAACGTTTTGTTAAATTCAAACTTAAATTTATTTTTAGATGAAACCCAGTTACCAACTTGACAAAATTAAAAATTCCTATCAAACAGTGCAGGTCCATCTGCAAAAATCTGTTCAAGCTCCAAGGTTTTTTAACTTCTGCTTATACCAATTTCTAGATTTGCAGAGAATGCAGGCCATGTTCAATTATTGCTCTCCTGTGGTAGAAAACAAACAGCAGAATCCCAGTTGGTCCCAGCTCCTGAGCTTTTTCCTCAACTCTTGTTTGATTCTGTACCTGTGCTGTGATTATCCAGATGACCCAGCCTCCATCCTGGTCCTCTTTACTTTTGAGAATTTTAATTTGGCATGGTTGGATTGGCATAAACAAAAAGTAGTTTTGGCAGAGGAAGAGAGCAATTTCAGTCAGAGCTCAATCCAAACTGAAACCAGGAAGTGTGTCTGCACAATTCAATACTGGGAGATACGCAGAAGTATTGCTTATTTATGTTGAAACTATCAGTAAAGTTTCATCCTCGTGCTGCTGTTCAACCAGGCTTCCTGGCATTAGTTTAAGCTACTCTGGATAGTGTAACTTGAGCCACTGACCAAGGTGTTCCCTGCTATTTGTCAGCAAAGGAAAGTGGGTGGGCACAACCCACCCTGTTTTCAAGAAGCCTTGAGTCAATCAACTGGGGTGTGGGAACAACTCCCATCGCAGATCGAAGAGATAAAGAGACCACGGCACGAACAGCTCAGATTGTCAATGTGATATAAAATAAGATACTTAAATCCAGCTGTGCTAGCAAACACAGAAGGCAGCGTTATGGGGTGACCTCAAAACAGGATCCCTCCACAAATGTGCTGATATATAACACAACTTCTTTGTACTCCCTTCAGAAACAGAAAATATATTATTTTTAAGAATCGAATTTTTGTAATTTACTTCAGTTTTACCACAACTGTTTGTACAGCCTGTATTTAGAAACGTAATGGGCCTGTACAATATTAGTCCTCGATAAATGACAGTAAACCAGCACAAAATAGGACATAAATTATCAAGGACATATTTCAAGAGGTAAGAATGAAAAATGCTGACTCCTAAGAACTGACTCGGAGATAAGAGCACTGCGCTCGATCCTTTTCCCTCCTTTAAGACCAGCTATTTATGGCCGATGAGCGATGATAACCAGGCAGGGCTTGGCAGAAGGGTCAGTACAGCAGCTCCTGGCGAACAAAGCGCAGGAAGCCGCTGCCACGGTCGGCACTGCTCACCTGTCCAGCCGGCTGTCCTCGGGCCCGGGCTTGTTTTCCTCACAGGCGGAGGATTCGGGCTCGTTCTGCCTCCGCCGCCTCCCATCGGCGCCGCGTTTCCTGGCCTGGGCCCAGCGCGGGGGGTGCTGCGGGCTGCGGACAAACAGGGACCCGGCCGGGCTCGAGGGCTCCGTCCGCCTCCGGAGACCGCGCCCGCTCACCCCTGCGCTCCCTCAGCGCGCCGGGCCCGAGGGGCTCCGGCCGCCCACCCGCAGCGAGCCCGGGCAGCGAGCCCGGGCAGCGTGGGGGGAGCGAGGCCCGGCGCAGCCCGGCGGCCCTACCTGCTCCTCGTGCTGCCGTGAGGGCTCCTCTGGCGGAAGGACATGGCGCGGGGATCCTCGGCGCGCAGCGCTGCGGCAGAGCTGAGGCGGGCGGTGAAGGAGGGCCGGGCGGCGAGGGGCTGGCAGGCGAGGGCGGCTGAGGCGGGCGGTGAAGGAGGGCCGGGCGGTGAGGGGCTGGCAGGCGAGGGGCGGCTGAGGCGGGCGGTGAAGGAGGGCCGGGCGGTGAGGGGCTGGCAGGCGAGGGCGGCTGAGGCGGGCGGTGAGGCAGAGCCCAGGCAGCGCTGCCGCCTTCCCGCTCGGCCCCTTCGCATCTCCCGCCGGCGCTGCGCGACGCGCCCGCTCCGCCTCCCCCGGGGCGCCTCCACGGGGACGGGAGCGGGGGGGGGGCGAGCGGGAAAGCGCCGCGGCCGCCCCGCGCCCGTACACGCTCACGCACGTTCCCCCCCCCCCCGGCAGGGTAATGGCTCAGCCCGCTCCGCCCGGCCCCGCCCCCGGGGCGTGTTGGCGGGAGAATCGAGCGCGGCGGCGCGCGGTTTTGGCGCGCGGCGGCGGCGGGACTCGCGTGAAACAACGGGGGGAAAATCCAGCCCAAACAAAAAGAAATTACAAATTCCCGCGATTTACGTATGAAGGATGACGGTCCCCGGCAAGGCTGTACAGTCGATGAAGCGCACAGGGTAGTTGAAGGGCCAGTTCAAACCCTACACCAGACAGTTACCACATAAATTTCAGTGTGACGTGGCTTTAAATTCTGCATCAATAGTGAAGAAGGCTGGGTAACGACACGAGGCGGTTGTGCCTTGGTTCGTGGACCTTTCTGGGGTTTTTACTTGCGCATGCATGCCCAGTGAGATCCCACTGGTCCTGCTATTGGGAATACGCTCACATTTTAGAACAGTAATTTAGAAACAACCTGAGGAACTCCAGCAGAACACAAACAGCTTTTAACCATAATACATTTGCAGCCTGAAGACTGGTGGGACACTCCAGAGAGATGGTTTTCTTCTGGCCTTACAATCACAGGATTACAAAGGTTGAAAAAGCCTTACAAAAACAAGCTCATTAAGGCTGGAAGAGTCCTCCAAGATCAAGTTAATCATGGTTGTCCATGATTAACGAGGCACTGCTAAGTCCATTGCTAAACCATGTCGCCAGGTACCACTTCTGGTAAAACAGATGGCAGAAGCAGCAAACAAAAATTTGCTTGGTGGGTTTCTTTGATCAGCTTAAAACACTAAAGCAACTATCTAAGTGCAGCAATGGTTTTGGAGAAACTTTCAGAGCACACAGTAACAGGTGGTGTTTGGTTTTGATTTTTTAAAATAAAGATACACTCCAGCCTTGCTATGCATTAAGGGATTTATTTTGAAAATTCCATTCCTGTTGTCTGGCCTTACTGTGTTATATTTTGTACAAACTCGCAGATCTTCTGTGTGGCATCTGCATGAACATCCACATTCCTGCAGGAAAGTCTGCTCTGCTGGCACCTCTCCTTTCCCACACACTGCTATGAAAAAGAGAACTGTGTTCTTGAACCAAGGTCGTGCTTGAAATACAGCAGAGGTTCAAAACATGCACAAACTCCCCTCCCTTCAGCCTGGCTCTGACCAGCTAGACCAGCATGTTTACCTGAACACACCCAAGCAAGGCAAACAGGACAGTTACAGCCTGGAAGCCACACTGTGCTTTTAGCACCACACTAGCTACAAATTGAATTCAGTTTATCCAGTGGAACTATCTCCTGGGACACAGCTCGGAGATTACAGCTGCACTGCATCTTTCTGTCCTTGTCAGCAACAAAAGTCCTTCAGAGAAGCAGTTTCACACCATGGTGGGAGTTTAAGGGGAGGAGATATCCTCAGATGTGACCTCAAAGGAGTTTTAGAAACAAAATAAACTACACACAACCCGTGGTGTTTCAGAACTGGCTGTGAAGGATGGTTTCCACAAGCACAGATAATGTATCATCTATAAGGAGATTCTCCCAGTGGAAGCATGCCAACAGAAGATACTTGTTATTTCTAGGGAGAAATTGAGATCTGTCTGCTGAAGTTCAGGGTATATTTTGGTTTAATTATAAACTAGGCACAGATTTATGCAGAGATTTAATTAAGTTGGGTAAAATTAAAAGGAAAAACTGGGGGTGGAGTGCCAGACTTCTGCTTCGCTTACCTCAGTTGCAAACTGTGCCAGACAGCCTTGGGTAGGTAAACAAGTGCATGGACAGGCAGCATTCCAGTTTTGACTGCTCTATTTAGTCTAATGAGGTTACTAATTAGAACACAGGATGATTTTACACCCAGTGGCAGCACTACATGCTATGACTTTAGCAGACCTCAAACTTCATCTGCTGTTTCATTCCTTCCCTTGAGGTACCATAGCTTGTTCAAGCACACAGAATCTGGATTAGGGAATAAATCTGCCCAAAATTCAACTGCCACAGGCAGATTGGTTATGCTATGTCTAGTCTAATGCCTTCAACCAAGAAATACAAAGATCTTTTAAGGACTGCTGAATTGCAAAATCCTATGGATGTATACCTAAAGCCGTTGCAGGCCCTATCATAGGCAAAAGCTCTTCATACTCATAAAATACTTCAATAAATACTTAAGATGAGTTTAAGTATTTCTTAACAGCCTATTACTCTCACCTAGCAGTTCCATCTCCAGCAGGACCCCTTTCCATGGCAGAATGGGTGCTGGGACTTCAGCTTCTCCCTCCCACTATGTTACAATGCATTAACACCGAGGGGCTGGACAAAACCAGAATTGCAATCTGCCTTCAAGAGTCTAATTTTAATCTCTGAAGACTCCTCTTTTCCCCTTTTAGCAAAGACTAAAATCCAAAATCACTACCCAAACCAAGCAAACACCCTAAAACAAACAAGAAAGAACCCAGATATTCCTTTTATAATCAAACTGACAACACAACTGCAAAAACAGACTAACAAGGATTTTTAAAGTTCAAGTCTTTAATTCTTCTGCATAAAGGCAAATTGCCAAAAATGTAACACATTCCCTTTATTTACAAGCACCATAAATCACAAGGAAACATGCACACTGGAACAACAAGGTTCTAAATATTACCTCTTAGAAAAGTGCTGTACAGATGTGTCCCTCGTACACATATGCTCCGTGCTCTGTGGTGTGTGACTGATACACCCTTGTGTTAGGCTGAGCATGCCTGGAAATAACATTTTGGGAGGGAGAGTAGTTTCTGAGGAAGCAGCTGGCTTCAAAATCAGCAGCACAATGGGCTCTTGGCCCTGGGTACTGCCAGCCCTATAGCAAGGGAAAGTAAAACCAAATTCCTGCAGAGACAACTCCCAGCTCTAGCAGCCACTGGTATCCCAGTACATGCTACACAAGGATTGTAAAATTCTTGTAACTGGCACGTGAATTTAGTCCAAACCATGGTAGCCACAGCTATCACTTCAAACTTCTGCACACAGTGTTAACAGAATAAAAAAATAAAGGAGAGCCTGTCCCAACACCATCACAACCCTTACCCTGGACACGAGCAGCTCCACACCTGCAAATACTGCTATTCATCCCCAATAGTTGTAGGAACAACAGGCACTGAATGCATCCTCTCCTATTCTTTAACTGTAGACTGGCTCTTTGGGTCAGGCTGCAACACACATAAACAAAAATCCAGGTATTTAAGCTGTGCTTCTGTTCTAACAGTCACTCAACCCCTTCAAGAAAAGGATCTGATTTTGATAAACCATATACCTTTCCTTTCTCTTCTCTCACCTGGCTTAGGCAAATGCCACCTTAATACATCTCAGAGAACAATAAATAGGCCAAATGGGTGATCACCCAATCCAAAAATTATGAATAGCTTGTCTTGAATGACTGGAGGAAGGCTGAAATTATGTACATTCTTTTGAAGCAGTTCTTCAGGCTGCATGTCCAATTCTGGTCCAGTGGAGCAGAGGAGGTTCCTTGATTGGAGGGGTTGGATTTCAGTCTGACTTGACACTGGACCATTCACTGGTAAAACATCATCACACCCTGAGGAATGAGACTTCCAGAGGGAATGGCAGAATCCATCACCTGAAGCAGCCTTTGAAAAATAATGCACATGTCACCTGCCAACGCAGGCACAGCAGAAATGTCCTCACAAAAGCTTTAAGGAACATCCATTGTCATTGCAGCACAGGTTCACGAAATCTGGAGTTTTACACTTGAGGCACAGCTTGCAGAAAACAATCTATCCTTATAAAGATCTGGAGAAACCTAAACAAAAAAGCAGGTAACAGCATTTTATAAACGTGCTATATCCAGCCCTTAGCAACAAAACATTTCCCTCCTTTCCTCTTTTAAGCTGTAGTGTTACAGTAGCAGTAAACGGAAGAGAGCACTGCACATGGTGAGCTTATAGCACAGTATTAAGGAGAAACTCATACTGTCCATACTAAAGGAAGTATTACAGCTAGTATGAACATTTTGAGAACATAAATTACTAAAAAAATACAGTACTAGATACGCTACATTCATAAAGTATTTGTCAGAGACAAGGAAGTAGCTGAGCCTATTTTTCCCAACCCCTTGCATCGTTTTCATCTAAATGCCATTATTCATTCATAAAACATGCTTTTATCTTGATTCTAATTAACAAATTTCTGACACATCTTAAGTATCCAATTGACTAAGGTTTTTCCTTAGAAATCAACCAGACAATTTCTGTCTTAAACAGGAATAAATGTGAATGTTTATTTTAGCAAAAGGGAAGGTAGTGTGGAATTCTACCATGTAAACCACTATCTGGTTTTCAAGCAAGATTAAACTTCCACAGATAAAGTTCCTGACACTTGAGAGTTAGAGCTCATCATGCCAAAAAGCCAAGGCAATGCTTCTCTAAATACTGATCTTTCCATCCCAGAAAGCCAATGTGTTGCTCCACAGATAAAGTATTCACTTTATACATTCTACATCTAGCAGAGCCCTTTTTTCAATTACAATATTTGATTACAAACCCACTCTTTATATACACTCCTTAATACAGCCTTATTTACAACAAAGACCACTGCAAAAAAAAGATAAATATCAACTATGTGGGAACCAGAAAGACTCTTAACTGTGATGTAGAGAGGCTTCTTTTACCTGAATAATTTCACCTTATATTGATTGCACGTATGCTGACTGCAAATCTCTTTCTCTTCCAGTGCAGATCCTACATGACAGCAGCAGTTTTCCAGGACTTGATCTGATCTCAGACTACATCCTATTCTTCAAGTCTTTTTCTGCCACAGGAGAAATTATTTCTTCAATACTTCTATATACAAAGAGAGACTAGATATTTTCAAATATTGAATTAGCACATTAGAAAAGTGAAAGCATGTTAAATCTTATTCATGCTCAAAGAATTTAAATCAAAAATCAATAAAGTCAAAAGAAAAATGTCATCAGCATAATTTTTTAAAAGCTCTAGCTGCCTTTTTCTCACATTGCTATAATCCAAAATCTAAGTGTAAAATTAATTTTGGCCACGTTCTTAATGAGTTTTATAAGACAAAATTTTCAAAGATCACTGATTAATAGACATTAATAACCATGTTTAATAGCCTGCATCAAATGTAGATCAAAGACAATCTAATTACACAAAGACTAGCTTCTAACAAAATCTGTTTAACCCAGATTACCACCCATCCTATTAATGCATCACAGGAACCTACAGTCCAAGAGAAAATTTTCACTAAAATCTACTGCTGCAAATGCCAAGTTGTTACTTCTTCACAGAAATATTAAGAGACAGAAAAGGTGCTATTGAAATACTTAAAAAAATTGGCACTTGTCATTTGAGAGATAAAAAAAACATTTTCGGGCTGACAGGTAACAATTTCAATTTAGCAAATGGAAGCATTATGTCTTTTAATTAAGGTGCTGTATTAAGTGCAAGAGAATGGGATAAAACACTAACAAAATAAAATAAAAAAGGATCTACCTGAACAGTTGCATTCTGTAGAATGATACTGTGGGTAGGCGACTGAAACAGCAGAGATCAAGTAAGCAGTCAGCAGGAACTCACCTTGGGATTTAGATTTTTTTCCTCAGTATTGTATCTTCAGCATTTGCACTTTCCAATCCTCTGTCAGGGTGTACTGACTGATACTCATCCAATAAACTGCTACAAAGTTTAAGCCTACAAATAAAGAAACAAAAAAACAACGATTAATTTTCTTTATTGTGGTAACTTTAATAACTAAATACAATAACAATCCATTTATGTGGGAACTCAAAATGTCTCTCAGACATTTTTAGAGGTTCCAGGCCTTAGTCAGAAGCATTTTAGACCCTGGCAGACAGCTGAAAAACAGCTGTGATTTTGAATTTGAGCCATAGAATGAATTGCCAACTTTGGAGGTGGAACAAGCAATCACAAAAGGTTAGATAGTATAGTAAAAGTAGTTACAAAGTAGAGGGGAAATTTTTTTAGTATTGTACAGGGGGGTTTTAATACTTGTACAGGGGGGGTTTTACCTTATACATGGGGGTCAAAAGTTCTAAGATGGAGGAAAGTGGGCTGATCCTGTCCTTCCTCCTTCTTTTTCCTTACCTCCATGTTCTTGGTGATGTTAGCACTCACAGATTGGTTTAGAGTAGAAAAGCACTTTGTAATATATGTAGTAGGTATTGGGGAAAACTATAAACATGTTATACGTAATATATCATATAAAAAATAGCAGCAGCCCTGGGCGGGGAGAGAGACGAAGAAGACAGCAGATAGAGAGGATGTCAGGGTGTGTGTGCCTCTGCCCAGGACACTGAGCAAGCAGCCACAGTCCAAGAACATAATCTGTTAGATAACTAGCAATAAACTGCCTTGAGACCGAACAGCGAGAGCCTGCAGAGTTTTTCTTTGGAAGCACGGGTTGGAGGAGGAATTTCACCACCATATGAGACCCCAGAGCAAGGCTGGGGTTCTCACACATTTATATTAACACAGCTTGTAACATGAAAACATAAGGCCAGAATTTACCACACATATAGATATAAATAAACATATAAATATTGATCAAGACATCCCTAAGATAAATAGTGAAAAACAGCTAATTAAAAAATAAAATCAAATGTTTATAACAAATCCTTAGATTGAATTACAGCAAGAGAGCAACTAAGCAACTAAAATAACATACAAAAATGCCTCTCAAACCCAGCTGATGAGCTGCATTTGATACCTCTCCAGCCTGAAGTCTGTATCTCTCCAAGTCTTGCTGTCAGGCAGAAAGAAGCTGGATTTCTTCTGTTTTGGATGGTTCCATCCTGAAGCACAACTGGGTGGAATTGAGTCACTGCATAAAAACAAACAACTATCAGAGGGGTCACTAGAAAACAACTTAATCTCTAGGGAGACAGACAGAGGAAGCTTCCAGCT